CAAGTTTAGAACCTATCTTTGTTAGCTGAATTCGGTGCTATAAAGGTACAAGTGATCCCATGTTCAAAGGAATTTAGAGCGGTATTCAGATTGGACGATCCAGGTTTCTCAGTCATAAAGTGGAACTGTCCTTGCAGCTGCCTTACTCGGCTAGCCATTTAGACTTCAGAAAATACGTTCCTGAAACCAGGTTGACAAGTATCTTCCAAATCAAATTTTGTCTTTCAGGGTTTAATCGCAGTATGGCATTAGCAGAAATGAGTAAACATGTCAACGTATTTGAACATCCTGGATTGAAAGAGTATAAATTGGAAAAATCAGGTGACTAGCTTAAACATTCTATTTCGAGTAGGACGTGCAGGTTGATGGTAGCCGAACAACAAATCAATCTCTTCCGAACAGTCCAATTCTACTGATCCTATTATACGTAACACTAATTCTTAGATTCCCGCTCCATTAAAGTGCTCATTTTAAGACGTCACAAGTGGTTGGACAAATAGGAGAAAAAGATACTCCTGGAGAAGACCACTAGTTGTGGGAAAAAGTTTCAATTGTAAACTCATATATGACCGGGGTCAAAATACAGTAATGATACACTGCAATCCAAGGATTGTTTGCTCAGTATGGTGTTGGAAATTCCCATAGTACAGGCTGTTGCATGCCTTTCGGAACAGAGTAGGATGACAATCACCAAGTCGGCGAGCATATGAAGGAAATAATTATCAGCATAAACATCAAACGAAAAGCTTATTTTTAAGGAAATGTTTAGCATCTTGTCGTCGATTTTATCCTATCTTTGTGCCATCTAGTCAACTCCTTGCAATACGATTCTCTTAGCGCAACACCAAGACTTAAGTGGTAGTTATTTTTGAAACTATTTGCCTAGCTCAACGGGCTATTGAGACATCATTTAGTAGTGCTGCTTTCAAGGGTTTCATTCTGAACGCAGTAAGTACCCCATTAATATCGGTTTCTACCGAACAAGTCCTCATCCTTATATAAGCTGTTTTTTTGGTTGCACATGTTCGTCCTTCTGCATAACCAGATCACAGTGCTCAGGGATAAATGCTCTCAGAATTTTTGGCGGGGACCCATTGAAATCGCGGCCTCTAGACCTGAAGTGGCGTCGTTAATATGTTTCTATTGACATTTCTAAACAGATTATGTATGAAGCCCTTATCATTTAAAGCGCTCTAGGCAAGTGGGGAATAAGCGCCCAAAAATCTGATAAGGATTGTATCACATCTCACAATATGGAAGAATTATAGGTGTCGGTTATACAACAAGAAACAGTGCTACTTACTAAGTAGGTAAAGTGATATCTTATAATAGACCTTGCTTGGTATTCCGTAGCAGTCCAGTTTAAAGGACAGAACGACCAAGCACGACAAGTTCTTAGTGATAATGAGGCGTTTGGCACTGGTCTTCAACAATCCTAGCAAAGCGCTGATTACGGAGAAAGTAGCGTTTACATTGGGATGTTTCTTTGACAGACACCAAGCTGGTTGTTGGCATAATTAACTAGTTATCCTGTGGTTCTAAAAAACTCTTCACTTTTAATGACCACAGTGTGTTTCAAAAGTGGTATCCATGGCTTCAACTCCCCAAACAGTTTCACAGTTTAGGTAACTGAAAAACCAATGAAGCTTCGCATTTTTTAGGTTCTTCAAACGTCTGATAGAGTTAAAATGAGGCTTATTTTTTCGAAGACTAATGATTTGTGGAAAACGATTTCTGCATAAGGACTGCGGCTTAACATGAGGGTTCTGTAGTCGTTTTTTGCCTCGGAAAATTAGCATCAAAGGTACACAAAATTCAATTTAGCTACATTATTGTAGCCGGCAACGTTGTGGAATATATGTAGCTTGGGTGTGCTGCTTAGTTGTTGGACTCTTACCCGAACTTGCCATTTGGGGTGCAAACGTTTCATCACCAACTGATGACATCGTCACTGCAGGGTTGAGTGGGTGAATTCCTCCTCTTCTTACTGTGATTATATAGTTCTGGAAGTGGTCTTCGCGTAGTTTTATTGGTCTACTTTAAATCTGACTTGGTCTCAATCTCTTGTGTTTGGTTGGTTCAATTCGACGGTTTTGTGTGTGGTTGTTATGTTGTGATTCGGCCGTTTTCTTCTTACTTTGTGGTGTGAATTTGTTACCTTGATTGGTTGATTCAGTGGCTTTCTGTTTTTAGTGATTGTCTTCCTTTGATCCAGTTAGTCGGTTGGTTGTCGTTAGGCTTCTGGCTCAGAGTCCCGTGACTATGTGGTTCTTTTGCTCGTAATGGCTGATAGACTGGATCAATCGATATATTTTTTGATCGATCCTTGCGTGAGCAAGTATTTGAACACTGTCTTAATTGAACCTGTGCCGTTAGCTGTCTTCATGACTTGAGACAAGTGACATTGGGTGATGTCTACTGCTGGCAAGCTTGTACCCGTGTATTCTGGTAGCAATTTTTCCTCCCGTCTGGCCAACATAGTGTTTGTTGCAGTCGTTACAATTAAGTTTGTAGACCACGTTAGCCTTCTTCAATACATCCAACCATCCCTTTGGTTTCGAGAGAGTTTTCCTGAACGTGTTTGCAAGTTTGAAGGTGACCGTAATTTCCTGTTGCCGTAGATGTGGTGCAGTCATCTTTGCGGCGTTTCTGATATACGGTATTCATATGCGACATTATTGTAGCTATCAAATACGCTAGATGATTTCAAAAAAGGATTTGTTGTGTTAAACAAGCATCAGCACGGCGACTCAGTATGAAACTGCTCACACAGATGCCATCCAATGTTCAGTCTAAACGGTTGTCCCAGCCTACAAGGTTTCAACGTTTTTGCCATTGCATTGTAAAATTCGCTAGCGATGACAAATGGAGTAATTTCACTGTGTTCTAGCCTTGGAGAAAGTATATGGGTAGAACTTGAATGACAGACGCATTCGCGGAAAAAGTTTGACTCCTTCACTATTATTTGATATTTTGTTTAACGGTCGTTTGCGCGGCGTTTTGTCGCAAACAAAGGTTGAGCATAATGCTGTTCACTTGGTTCTCCTCGAGAAATTTTCGATTTTCCTTCAAATATGCGCCTCCCTGAAGTTTGCAGAGGCTGGATCTTAGCTTAGTGATATCATTTGCTACGTTCAAAATGTTCCAGTTCCCCAATTAGAACCGCTTGGTTCAAAAACAGTTTTCCCATCTCATTTTGTTGTAGGGTGCACAGTTTCATGCGGATACCCATCGTTGCATTAAACCTTTGCTCAATTCATGCGTACATAGATACGGTCTGCTATTTTTATGCGAAGAAAGAATAACTATTTTGTTTTGATCATACCAAGTTAATAACTTGATTTTTTCAGACAAAAAAGGACACTGCGACCGTTCACTTCGGTGGCAATTCTCGTAACCAGCGCAGTTTTACTGACTTAATAAAATACGCAGTGATACTCAGTGTTTTAGATAGCCGTCTACCATCAGGACCGGTACAGCTCTTACTCATACGTAGCTTATGCATTCAAACCAAGGTATGAGTCCATATGACAGTGTAGTTTAGCAGTGAAATGCAGTTGTTCAGGTTTGTGGACTTTTCAATCCTTCCAAGTAACAGAATAAGCATGAACGCATGTCCGGAAGCCGGGTCACAGCTAACGACTAACTAGGCAACTGAGTTGCAAACTCGAGGGAATAATTAGTATCAAATTGCAATTCGGAAAGTTGAGTCTTCTTTGATATCTGTTTGGAGAGTTTGCGGGGTCTTCAATTATATAATTGCAGTTGATTCGAGTGAAAATGGTTCATTGTCAACAATAGATGATTTCATCCAAAGCTCACAACCCTCGGTGATTGATGGCTAGTCAGAAGAAAACAATCCGAACGTTCTTGAGTAGTCAACAGTAGTTGAAAAGAGACAACAAATTCAAAGTAACTTGAATCTACCCATGCGAAGTTACCGGTTTTCGGCAGTAAGATGTGTTTTTGTTCTTAATTGGGAGACAATTTTTTGCTGGTCCATGGTTGTCCATTTGGCAAAATTTATCTCTAAATCCCGCGGATGCAAAATAGTTTTCTTTTCCTCCCGGTGTTTCACGAAGCAAAAGTGTTGACCTATACATTACCATAAATAAAGACGACTAAATAAAGTCCAAAAGCTTTGCCAAAACGCCTACCACTTTTGAGCTAAGCTGTTATCGATTTCAAGTTTGGAAATATTGGAGCGAATTGAGTGGTAAGTCCCGAAAAAGAAGTTGAATTTTTAGGCCTTCCTTGCTATTTTTTAACCCAGAACGTTCACATTTTCAACAAACACCACTTAGGACATTTTTTGCTGAGTTTATGACCGAGTCTGACTGTGCCTGTACAGGCTATACGGAAAACAAGGCTGCGTCGAATGAGCGTGTGGAACGTTGTCTAAGCTACTCTGCCAATCTTATTGTTAACTGCCTCTGAGCAGTGATCGACCTACTTGTTACTCTGAGATTCATGCGGTGCCTCTTCAGAAATAACATATGCTCTTAGACGGATCGTGACTGATAATAATCAGCCAGCCGTTTTCTCGAATTGGGCGATGGGGTGGAGGGAGCACGCAAATAGGCTGTGACTATGAAATGTATGAATGCCTACAGAGGTGCCGGAATAAGCAAAGGGTGTACTCCGATGAACTCTGAGCTTTCAGACACCGTTATGAACAGTCTTCTGGTCAAAATCTCTAAGATGGACACCGAGAAAACCAGGTTTTTATCACACTCTGTCTGGCACAAGAAAAACCACACGGGCCACATGGTGGATTTAGATGAAATTGGTACTGCAAGGGCCTGTCCCTCAGTGTTTGCCCTAGGCTTATTCTGTGTGTATGCGCGGATTTATATTTTCAAGTATTTGGTTTGGTTTTCGATTCATGAGATATTTTGACCCCAATTATCGCATTTTTAACCCGCATATTCTGCAAATCGCTCCCCCCAAGATTTTCCCTTTTTATTTGTTTTTACATTGTTTTCTCTTGCCGTTTCAGAACTAGCATTCTAATGATGGATCCCGTTGTAAAGCCGAAGTCCTTACCAGCTGAAAAGATTCCCACAGTAGCATACAACGAGCAAACCCTAACCACAATGGACACTGCAACAAAAGTAACGAATTCATTACTTTCGTCCGTCAATCCGACTCCAGTACCCTGTGGTCAGTGCAGTACGGTTCAGTCATCGACCAACTCAGCTATGCACGTGGCACACCTAGCACAATCCGGTCACGTGATTCTGAGTGGATCAAAGCCTACACATGCCATTGTCCATGGAACCGGTCTACCGGCGTTAGTGGATCCTATACATCTTCGGGCATTAACACCAACTCCAGGTGTGATGGCAGCAGCTGGTCTTAGGGAAGTGCAAACTTTACCCAGGTCATCAGACCATGCGGTACATGGCCTGGGTACTCGTTACAGACCTATTCTACTGGCTAACAGCCAGGGTACATTAACTCGTCTACCATCGGCCCATATTGGGCAGACATATCAAATGATTGCCTATCCTAATCAATTAAATCCCACATCTGGACAATCAGCGCAGAAAAGTGCAGCAACGGGAAACACTACGCCCGGAGCGGCAGTAATGCTTGCTGGCCTTCTGGCCCCCGAGGGTGCATCGATTGAATCCGGCAATGCTACACGTATAGCACAACTTCTTTCGCCAGCCGGGGTGTCTTCTCCTGGTATGGCAAACACACAGCTGTTGATGTATTATCCGCAGTCCAATGTGAACACTGGTGAGTTTAGTGATAACAAGTCTGTTTTAATGGACAACTCATTTTAAGGCTGGTAGGTCACTTTTCTCACCATGACTTCAACTGAAGCTACAGACTTCCATAAACACAGCAAACATTGTTTATACCTCTTGATTTCATTTTACTTTTCATTACTGTGGAAGAGAAATGATCTTTGAATTTTGAGAGGAAATGTTAGTAGTTCAATTTGCATACGACCCGCTCGATAAGAACTACCACTTATTCTGACGAGAGTCAAGTCAGCTGTTTTAATGCTTAAGGAAACAGTCAAAATCTCGAACGTCACGGGTTCAGTTTGTCAGTGAATCGAATGGATACGTGGGTGAAGAAAACTTTCATGGTATGACGATGAAGCAGTTTCACGTAACATGGAGTGCATGCGTAGTCATATTTTTCACAGAGCCATGGAAACCCAAGTACCTAGTTGCGGTTACGAAAGTTCAATAAATGAACCCCAGCCTCGAACCATCAGACCCGATTGTCTGTTCGTAAACGTTACTCTTGAGGTGGACCAAGTTCCCGAACACCTATTCAACCTATCAAGTAGACCTGGTCGCTGAATTTCTACCAAGATTATTTGTACCAGTGTTACGATAAACATTCAAATGCAAACAAACATGGCGTTTACAAAAGACTCAGCTTAAATCCACCTAAAGTTTTCGTTTATATTTAGTCAAACGTTCCAACAAAAAAGTGAATTGCTTCCACAAAATCACTGAAACAGAGGACATTTCGAGACTCATCAACAACCCTGGAGCCTTGGGCTGGAAAACCAATAAGAACCGTTCCGTCATAAGTGAGTGGTTCCAGCAATAAATTTCGAAAAACCGACATCCGTAGCTGATTACAGCTTATAAAAAACCTGCGGATTCAGATCCAGTCACCTTTCAACAATATCGTCATAAAATCGATTGTGAAGGAATACCTTCATTTGTGTTTACCTGGTGCTTTCGTTTAGAATCTTGGGGAAGGTGTAAAACATTGGTGAAAATGAATACTTTCTTCTCTCACTCAGTAAAGAAAGCACTGTTTACGGCATAATTCGATTGTTCGCACACATGTAGCGCGAGCACAATTATGTATCGGCATGTCGAAAATGAGGTCGGGAAATATGATTAAAATTTTGCTGGTCATCTAGCCAGTTTGGTCATGCAATACGTTTGTGCATTTTTTTCTTCAGTAAGTATTTCCTGCAGCGCCCGCATGTGTTTTCGCGTATTCACAAAAGTTAAATACGTTTAACCTAAAATGTGCTACTTATTTCCTATGCTTACATTAGACGTAATTGCAGTAAAATGAATCAGAGGTTTTTTCTCACTGGTCAGTGTTCAGACTGCTATCGAACGTCCCTAAAATCTGTCTTCATACTGCGCCAAAACAATCATCTGATCTTAGTTGAAGAAAGGTTTTGATATCCCTTCTGTAGAAGGTGTGGATAGGTTGGACCATCAATAGCTGAAGTTCGAATAACATCTGGCCAGATAATCCAAGCAGTCCCACAAACAGAATTTGCCTAGATCCTACGACTTTCACTAAGTCGTCAACCCTAACATTGGTCCAGTTCTACCAAGCTGTTGCTCCCCGTATGTCGACTCCAGGACAGAACCCGATTTAATTTTTGAAGGGTAATAGCAACAGGTACCATCGTTTGCTAGGTGCAAGAGTATGAACGTCTGACTATCTGGAATAGTTGCGAGTTCAACAGAGATACAGAAAACGAAAGATGTATTTCTTGGAGTAGATTTCTTAGTAATGCATGAAAGCACGTTTGTTGTGTGGAGCGCAGTTTATTTCACGCCAAAACAGAGGCTTGAACTTAGTGTTTAAAACAGTCACAAAGTGACTCATTCCGAGAAACAAGTTATCTCACTGGTGATCCTCGGGTCAACCGGAAAAGATCAACCTCACTGAGTACTGCCGAAGCACAACGTTTACGTTGTTTATGACAGTGTGGCGGATAGGGGATAGAAATTCGGCTAGACATAGGTTTTTTATAAACGAGCGATTCAACAGAAATTTGTTTTTCCACCTGCTGACGCCAAGCTAACTTGCGAATAAACCTACTTCTTGGGGATATCAATTTTTTTCACAAACTTGGATCCGCATGACTACAACGATCTTCAAAGCTGCCTTTGATAGTTGAAATATTAGAAAGCATCATAAATCGTTCGATGGGCTTACTCATCTACATTGTAGTTGCAAAATCTCGACTTTATCGATTTTAATGGGAACTGGAAAATAAGTTTTATTTTTTATAAGTTATAATGCTTATAATGAAACACTGTTTCCAAGATTTACTTTGTCCCGTGGCTTAACGAGGTCTCCCAATATGAGTGTTTTTTAGTGAGCTATCATGAACCTATCGGGCTGTCCAAACCGAACTTAAGTATCAAAACTTAAACAACTAAATGAAGCGGATTAAAAATGCTCCTATTTTTTCCAGTTTAGATTCATTGGCCAAAGCGTCAAATGACCGCACGTACCTAACGGTTTGAAGATTTCGCATCTAACATCCCAATATGCTCACACTACGCACCAGCTTTTTTCCTAGGACGTGATCATCTGAAGAAACCTACCGAGATTTATTCCTTCTGGATGTTTCACTCTTCCTGAAAGGGGTCGTTAAATTACGCCGCAAGGAAGCAAACGAAGTTGATCTCTTACATATATCGGCTACCATGAGCCGGACGTTCTAAGGTTAAAATAACCAAGTAGATTTGTTCTCAGTGCAGCAAAATCTAACATGTATCTTCCTCATAATAGCCGAATATGTATATTTAATACGCAATGAATCTATCGTAGTGAGCTTCAAAATGACAACCAGTTGGGTTGGCAGAAATCCGAGAGAATATTGTGTGGCTAGATCGGTCTGATTTTGAGGAAACGATCGCTAATGACTCAACTTATTTTGAAGGGTAATTTTCCAACTTAAATCCGTGCGAATAGTGCATATGATTGCATTTCTGGGGTACGAATTTCACACTTTTGGACTAAACACAAATAACAATGCGGGCGATTTAGTAAAGAAAAATGTGCATCCGTGGGTATCTGCTTCGTCGTAGGGGGCGAGCCGGTTTCCTTCTGGTTACTGTCTGCTTGAAAATTCACTGAGAACTGTAGCAACTCACAGTCTGTTTTATGTAACGCGAAGTTTAACAGGCCTGTCCACGGAAATTCTCAGTTTTGAATTAATAGTGAAGATGATGACCGGAAACTTTAAAGGATGCAGGATTTTACTCATGCAATGTATGAAATTCTTGTGACTGAGGCAACATCAGCGTGTAGTGGCAGCCCGTTCCCTTTGTTTCGCACAGCGCACCAATTTTCCTGCTTCAATAGGCCTTTCTTTGATGACGATTTTTTTATTTTTAACTTTTAGCCACCTCGGGTAAGCAAACCACGGGATCCGGAGAAGAACAAGGCTCACATCCACAACAAACTGTTTATTATGCTGTGGCTACTGGTGACTTGGTACGTCAACTCCAAGCCCATCAAGCAAATGTTCACGAGCATGCTCAGCTGTCAAGAGCACAACTACTCCAAACTCCTTCCGGGCTCGTTTTGCTCCAGCCAAACGTCTCCCTTCAGTCTGCAATGTCTTGTTCGTTTAAAATGTCCACTCAGCCTCCCAAGTCTCTACCAACTGAATCCTCAACATTACCCAGGCAATCACGGTCCGAAGGTGGACAGGCGTCTGGCGGATTAATCTGTACCTGTCCACCAGAAGTACATCAAGGTGAGTAGCTTTCGTTCTTTAGAAGATTTTACGGCAGAACCAGAGGTTTTTCGATCAGAGGTCACTACCCTCACGTAGTCAAAAATGCTCAATGTTTTTTCCTGAGGGGGGATATCCTGATGGAACAAAGATAATCAGGTTCTTTTCAAGTCATACAATGGCAAAGGTTAAGAGAGCGGTATTTAACATATTTGAATGAGTGTGGTATAAATGGACAGGGAATCGAGTGAGATGACACTGACTACCTATCAAAGAACCATTAGTTCAGGTCGCCAATAGGATGACTTGAGCTGGTCAGCTCGGGGGGTGTTGTAGTTGTGTGTTCAGCACACAGTGCATGTGTGAGGGGAGGTGAGTTGGACCATGGTAAGTACAACACACGAACAAAGCGTTTTTGCCGACAAAGGATCGGGTCGCGATGTCGTATGGCGATAGCTTCAGCCACTGCAATTGTGCGCTGCTGTACTGATCTGGGTTGGTTAGCCGGCGCCTTGCAACTACTGTTCGATGGCGTGCTCTACCGTCAAATTGACGGCGTTGCTATGGGCTCACCACTGGGACCAATGCTAGCCGACATTTTCATGAGTAAACTTGAAAATGGTCCCTTAAAGGCTAACATTGAGAATATGCAACACTACTGCCGATATGTTGACGACGTCGTCGCTGTTGTTAACAACAAAGACGAATTGGAGTCACTCCAACAAGAGTTCAACAAGGCCCACACTGCCATTCAATTCACCTCGGAGGGAGAAACAGACAACTTTTTCCACTTCCTAGATGTTGGCCTTGAACGACGTCACGATGGTACACTGAAACGATCGGTGTACCGGAATATATTTGGATACTTACTAAGTCGCTATAACTATATGTGACCAAGGCATTGAAGTGCGTTCCAAGATGAGGACGGTCGTTTCACAGTGAGCCTGGACGTGCACAGTGTGGGAGAGGTAATAGGTGATATGGACTCAAGAACCTTCATGAATTCTCGTTTACAGGTGTGGTGGCGTGCCAGCAAAATTTCCGTTGACGTCAGAATGAAACACTACGAATAAGTCACATTGCGGCTACACATTAAACAGGCAAATTTTCGCGAACACGTTCTCTATTTTCGGAGGGACCCGATCATTTAATTAGAAATATTTCCTTCGTGGTACTTTAAAGTACACTAGGCTACTGCTGTAATCTAGTACAAATTTTGCGGGATATTGATGTGTAAAAATTTTTGGTGCACTAGGAGGCTATTTCTTACGTTTACACATAAAGTAGTATGCCGTGACTAGGCCTCCATTAACATTTTTCAAGCTTATTAGTTTTAAAGCGGTCACTGGTAAACGTCGAATAAGTGTACATGGGATGCAATCCTGATACCCATTCGGAATTGCATGGTAATTCATTTCGCTTGTCTAAAGGCGATGAATAACTCATTGGTTTTTTTTCCAAAAAAAAGTCACTACACTTTTCTATTGCGATTAAATCAGTTATAATTCAGGACTAGCTTTTTCGCGCGCTTCAGTTGGTGAGAATTTCCGAAGTTCGAACAATATGCCAGTATATCTTCGGATTTTACAGTTAAAGAGATGCTATGAATCTAGGGTCATATCAGAAGCAGGCATCTAGGAATAAAATGCAACCTATGCATGAGCAAAATGCCATCAAGGTCCGGACAGTAGAACTACTGCATTATTAGTTGTTTTTTTCCACAATATGGCGAATTTCTGTGGAAAAAGATCTGCCGGTTAAAAATCAGTCAAAAATGGTCAAATGACATTCTCGCGAAAGTCTGTCGAACTTCGTGTGAGGTCAGCTTAAGCTATCCCTACCAAACCAGTCAACGCCAATCTTGAGCTGTTGAGTAACCGCAGGTGAAATTGTCGGACTATCTAGGTGAGGGACTTTTCAAAAACGTCGGTCGTTGTGTTTCCAAGCCAGCTATCGTCCAGATGCTATGTAACGCCGTGCGCCTTCCGCATACGAATGGATCCCGATGAGGAGTACAGTAACCCGGTATTGAAAAAAAATTATTTCGGAGAGGAATTTTAACAGGACCGAGGAGAAGTTCATTAGTTCAGGCAATAAGTTTGCCAGCTGACCTGAGGGATTCTTTTCTAAGCTGTCAATCCAGATAATACCGCCATTGAGATGAAAGTGGGGAAGCACAGAGTTCAACGAGTGACATTGGCGGTGGATCATAATTGGTGAACGAAAATGAATGTTCTTCTCAAGTTGCATCTTTAGAAAATATAAATATAATTCATAATTCATGTTAAAATATATACAAATGCCATGTAAAACCAAATTACCTCCTGATTTTTGTAATGTTGAAATGCCTTGTGAACTGCCGTGTAGTAGAATGAAAATATCCCGGAAGAGTGCCAGAAGTGCTTTGTGATTGTGTCACCTGCCGGTTATTTGACCAACCAATACTACAAAAATTCTAACAGCTAACGAGTGGACAAGACGGGGTGGACAGGACTAAAAATGGCTCTATAAAATGATGCAAAAATCTTATGCAAAAATTATCAAATTGTATCTTGGAAACCCTACAAAATTGTGCGAAGTCGTAAACGAGCTAGGATACTTACGGCCCATTTATCCGTAAGATGAATTAGAGTTGAGGATCCTACTAGATAAACTATGGCATTAAAGTACTCATGTTTGCACCCAGACAATTGTCTAACACGAGTTCGAGTTCTCCGTAGTGCTCCTCAAACGACTACCATATTGTTTTTTCTCGTAGAAATCCAGATCCTCGATTTACCTTATTTGTTTCCACATTGTTGCACAAACCAACTTGACAACTACAAAACCGGACTCTTCTCGGATCCCAGAAAACGTCTACTTTGTCGGGCTAAAACGAGCGACGTAATTGGATCAACCATATGTTTAATTTGTGACTACAACGAGAATAAAATCTGGTGAAACTTTTCAGTGGTTGTATGTCGCAAGTTACTTTTGCATTTGCATCTCAGTTTTAACCGCATGTGACAATTACTGAGGCCACTGACGTCAGTTCAAAGGTTCCAAAGTTCTTCAGGCAGCGCAGTGCAATCTCTAAAGACTGGCATCTTTTGACCGATCCTCAGTGGTCCGATACCAACTGCGTGCGTAGACACATACCTATGTCAGTGGAGACATTGATTTCTGTCAGAAAACATTGTAGTCCTTACAAGTATGACATTCTGATAGGAGTTATCAGCAGTGATTATCGCATGGTTAAAAGATAGGTTGGCACGACCGTTCTCTAAAATGAACTGCGTAGGAATCGCCTTATCACCTAGTTTGATGGCGTAGATGGTTCCCAGTGCCTTTGGGCTCATACCTTCACAGTGTATACGACGTGGTTGGATGATCGATGCGTAGAACAGAACAAACACAATCTGCACACCTGTTTTAATTCTTGATCACCATGTCTCAACGTTCATTCACCAGTGAACCTGAAATGTACAGCCATCTTCTACGCTTGGATCCCTTGATCAGGCTGTATTCCGCTGGGGGTGCATCATTACCAGCCTATTGAGCCTCGCACTGACTGAACGGATGCGTGTTTCTAGTGCACTTTGCACCACATCTCAAAATGTATCACACAACGGATATGCTGAATAACGGATTTTAACCGCCCTAGAGCATTCTGGGTTCTGACAACTGTCTAGAGAGCTTCTGTTAGGGGTTTTATCGTAATGGCGATGCAAGTCAACAAGTAATGGCCCGTCATTTCTTGATCTTGTGCATTATGATAAGAACACTAGATATAACATCAAGATGGTTTTATAATACTGTACAAATAAGTATCATAACACATTTAGAGTAAGTAATATTGCCCTTACTAGAATCCCCGATACGAGGTTTACACAAAAGTCTATCCACCTATTAGGTCACTAGCTGCTGCTGTGAATCTTACGCAGTTATAACTGTCCGCAGTTCTGCATTGCGATTTTTCCTTTATTGATATGAATCGTAAGTCCTTCACGTGCCCGCAGGATAAGACAAGATATTCTATCCTTCATCGCATCACGATGAGCCGGAATACCTAGTTTACCTATCTGCATTCTTCCAAGTGATCATGCAATTTTCTCCAGATTGTCAAAGCTCTACTGACCAGTCGTTGCATGCGTTTTAGTGCGTTCAAAAGGACTCGATACTTTACTGATCAATATAAAGTTAAAAATAGCTGTTAAAAGGGTTGCATAGCCTGTAGTTTGTTTACTATATCACTGTGAGATTTTCTGAAATGATATTTTCCCACGAAATCATTGTTTTAAATGTACCATCTAAACGGATCAGCAGCAAGAATGCTATACTTGTGTTCCAACGACCATCACATCGTCTCTATACAAAATGACAGTAAGCTGGTACGGTGTCCTACTCAAAATTGAATCGAAATGCCCCGATTTTCAATGGCTGAATCTCTGGTGGCATAGGATATGTACACTTGTAAGCAATGTGCCTGCAAAACGACTTCCAAGTCCGTGTGGTTCTGACTGCCCCATATCCAAGCAGAATGGATCTTTCAAATTGTCGAATAAATCGAGATAACCATTAGATTACAATCCTCACAGAATAGTAGAACATGACGAGCACTCAGGTATGGACATCGTGTGACTATAACCGAATCCCAACTGATACAGAAATAAGGAGATAACTGGTTATAAGTGGGTTCTAATCATCTAGTTTGCAAGCATAAACGTAGAACTGACCAGAGTCGCAAATATTCGTGTTGCGAATCAAAACAATAAGTTGGTGAATAGCAAGGTCGAACAGATATTCTGGCCTTGTGCCAAGTATATTACGCTTGATTCTGTACATACTTACTATGTCAAACGTACCCAGACAATGTGGTTATGACTTACTACTGCTCACCCCTGTAATAAGTCTCTTTGTCCAGTCAAGACCTCATCCATAGTGCGAAACTTTCAAAGAAGATCAAACCCATTCTATACATGTTCTGGATTGCCAGAGCCCCTGGTCTCCCTAGATTTCACATACGTTACTCGTTTACTTCATTTGCTGGGACAATTCCGTGCTCGTATTTCACCCATTGTGCTCTACAACACCCTTATGTCCGATTTTGTCCCTGTATTCCCCTTCTTCGGACAATACAAAGCCATATCTGAACAACAAAGGAGGCAAAAACAACAACAGCAGCAGCAGCCCCAACCACAACAACGACTGCATTCTCATGATCGTCCACCGGTGACCGGACCAAAGTCTTCGGAAGTTCCCGTTGCAAGTGAACTGAAATCCGGTGCAAAAATTGCACACAAACCCACTGAGAACGGTGGTATTACGCGGTGAGTTTGTTAATCAACTCGTTGATGTTGGTCGCCACTTGATTTGATGTGCGGTGCCATTTTCATGGATGAATTTTGCTTTCGGCTGTGAAAATTTTTATGGTATATATGTTTACAAATATACATTTATTCTACAGTACTTTGTCTGTTAAATGTTGTTCAGTCCTGCTGAGGATTCCAGTAGACCGATTGGTGCACGACACTCCCCACTGCTTGTGACTGAGAGATCTGGAGACACGTGCTGTCCTACATCAAACGTCAATCATTCCGAAGCCCCTCCAGTCGACACGTCCCAGGAAGATAAGGCGGAGAAAGAGGCACATGTAAACTATTTGGTCACGTTGTTCCAGGCACTCAAAGCATCTGGAGTGCAACCAGAATCTTTCGTTGCCGCCTTCAAACGAACGGAATTACCTGTTCCCATCCAAGGTAAGTTAGTGCATATCAGCTCACTGGCAACTACACACCATCATCCTGCACATTTAGTAGACTGTCGAATTCTATCCAAAGGTGTAGAAATGCAGTAGCAGATAGATCTGTATCGTACTGATTGGGTCTAATCTCACTTATAGTAAAAAATGACCCCCATCAGACAGCAATATCCTAGAGGGTACTGCCTAAAGGACAGAATGAATTATGTTTCTTTGAATTTTTAAAACTGAGTATTTTTTTGATAAAGCACCCAAAGCAGACAACGTCAGATCGAAAGTCAGTTTACTCCGATAGTACATACAACAATCACCTAAACCCTCCGAACAAACCGTTTGAGAGTAGAAAATAGCAGTTTTTTCAGGAGCAACTGCGGCGTATACTGTTTCTGATGAATTTTCATGGAGTTGCAGTAGACTAGCATCTGGCGACGGTGAGTTCTCTTCTGAACTATCAAGGCTGAGAAAAGTTGTCATCCGCGGAAACAACGATTTCACCTTGTTTCATTATTTGTGCCAAGCGTACTCTTATGGTTTCAGCTTCGCCGTATTTTACCTGGCCTAGTTTACCAACTGACACCGAACGATATACAGCAGGTAAAAGGGGACTTAGAAAGTAGTGTTTCTTTTCATCACTATATGCCAGGTGAGGATAACGCCAAAAATGAATTGTGTTGTTTGCTTCTACGGCTTTGTCCGTACATGTAAGTTGGTGGTTTGAAAAAGTAACACGCGTGCTGAAATGAATCGACCGGAAATATGTCCGCGCACCGGCAATCGGTTCCGTTCAGTACGGGAAAAGGTTTTTCAACGAATCCAAATAAAGTTACGACGAAGCAGCCTGAGGAACGCAGGCACATCATCAGAAAGATGGGATCTTTCGAAGATTAAGATGCTATTTCAACACAACTGAGTTATGGATTTAAAAGTAACTAATTAAGGAATAAATAAAATTGAATTTCAAGGTAATGGTATGTAGCTGATCAATGCAACTATTAAATAATTTTATGGGAATCCCATCACGTGAGAATGATTCTAGGTTGTTGCTGTGCATCTGGTCGAAATGTAATTTACTAAAGTTATATATTGCTTGTTGAAATCTATTTATATGTTGCGAATACAGAAATGCTACTCAGATCATTTTCCCATATAATCTTTCAAAGTGAACTGACACCATGTTCAGGTGGGATTGTGGAGGGTAGCTGAAACACTAAAATAGCTAGTAATGATGTGGACAAAGGAATCAAAGGGGAATAATTTTTTTTGCATCTCCAACAAATTATAAAAGCGCGAGACCTGAAATTAAAGCGAATGCAAAACAGTGTTAGCATGCTGGCTTCACAAAATTATCCAACAACAAGCAAAAATTCGCTTGGACGGTGTTCCTGAACGTAGAGAACGCCTTCCATGAGGGATTCTCAAGAGTTCAAGTAGGGAGGTACCAAAATGTGATCTAATGTTTAAATCAGCCGACGCTGATTCTTGCAATCTGCATAGGTTTGATTTTTGTTGTCTCCATGGAAAATAACCAGGCTGCTCAGAAAACAAAAGAAATCAGCAGTTTCCGGATCACGTGCCCAATACTTGAAAAGCTCAAATAAACACTTGAAAGTAAGCAAGTATGATGGAACATAGTGAGCATATGTGTTCAAAGTTTCATGACATGAGGACATAGAAGATTCCTTCTGGTACTTCTCTGTGTTGTGGCACATGCGATTTATTTCGTAGCGTTTGTCTGTGTACAAAGCCAGCGCGATGCTCTGGGCAGCTTTAATTTACTTCCAACAAAGGTCCTGCTGACGTAGTTATAATTTCTGGTAGGCACGGGATTTGTTGCAAGTGAATCTTCATTACACCACCGCCCGCGAATGATGCGTCACTTGGTTTGGTTATTCGACACCGAATGGAGGAGCGCTGCCCCGGACTTCTGGTCCTAAGAGCGCATCAACAGTGAATTCACACACATTTACCCTGGATAATAGGGAGATGTCAGCAAATGTTTGTGGGCTGACTTTAGAAATTGGTTTACACTATTTTTTCAACTTTCATTTAAGGGTTTGTTATAAGCGACTCGTATGCAGTAGCTCGGGTATCTTGTAACTAATTCGAAGCACGAAAAGAATAATTAGGCCCGTAGATTGGCTGACCGCTTAGGAAGATGAGCGATCTTCTTCCCGTTGAAGTTCATTAAATACCTTTTGTGGGGTTTGCGGGATATGGACTGTTTACATTCACATCACTCCCGTTTGAACGGCCGTCATCCTGTCCTGGCGTGATTATTCTGGTGAGTCCACACCAAAAGGGGGAAGTACTGGACTCGATTTTTGCTCTTATTGGAGCTCATTAGCAGCGCATATTCAACGGCCGTACCGAGGTCAGAACTCCGGACACCGGACATGCAAGGCGAGCGTGTTATCACTACTCCACCGGTGCACTCGAGTGTTCACCAGTCATGTTTCGCTGTTGCAAAATAACCTGAAGCTCTCGGCCCCGGCTGATCTTCAGACGGCCAAGACGGATGCATGACAAACGGAGTCATCTGTCCTACAAGGAGAGTGTCATTAGGGGTGGTGGTGGAGGCTGGAGAACATCTGAGTGGAAAGGAATGTAGATATCAGTAGTAGGCTGCTTCCTCCGACTCGTCCCACTGAATGCAGCAAGTAAGATGGCATGGCTAATGACACCACGCGGCAGAAGAAACTGACTACGAGCAGGGTCAAGTGGGTTTTATCCTTTGGTGTCCTTGACTGTTAGCGTTGGCGGATGGTCTTTGTTTTCAGACTAAAATCTTGTGTGGTTTGACAGACTAGAGTTCTATTTAATGCACTTTGATCCTGTGTAACTTGCCAAAGAGGCTAACACTTAGCTTCCCTGGGGCTCTGAATAGGATTAACTACGGACACTTTTGATTGGTTAACGTCTTATATTTGAGGACCATAAAGAACGGTTGCTTCCTAGACTTTAGCACTGCTTTTGATCCACCTGGGAGCTTTGGTGCCGTAAAAGCTTGAAGCTATGTGTGAGGCTTTTCTGTCGCTTTCACAGGATCGTTTCACCAAACGTTTGCATAATGTATAGAATATCGGCAAAAGATCCATTATGGTTGTAGTCGAGTGCGCGGTGTCTCTCACCTTTTTGTATTAGCACATACCTCTTTGCCATTGAGGCATCACATAAAGGTATACTGACTATATCGCCGCTGGTAAAGTCTCTTGTGTAGCCGCCGATTTTAAACTATTCCAAAAGGATTTCCTCTGCTCGTACTAGTGACGATTGATCATATTCCTCAAACGTTAATGTGACCAACATTTTATTAATCTCTCTGAGGAAAATTTTATCTAAAATCCATCAAGGATCGATCCTTAGCGCAAGTGGGTTCACTCAGTAGCAGTCCCCTGTCCTTAGATGGTAACGCGGGAAACGTACCCGTGAAGGTACGGCGATGGAGTTTGTATCAGACATTTAACTGTTTCACACATTTTCATTTTTGTGGTTAATTCTTTCATGGCTGCATTTTTTCATTACTAGTGTTGTCCTGTTAGCCCGCGATTTTATGGACCCTGTTTATGAATTTATCGTCACATGGCGTTATATTAGGATGCTATCGTGCTCAGGTGATGCTTCACATAGACAGGTGAATATATAACTTATTCGGATCCAATTGAAGCGATTCTTCACCATCCTCTGTCGCCCCGCAAAATGAGCTATTAAACTCTTTCGGTGTACTTTTGTGCACCCAACCCCCGGAACTCCAAAGTTTCGTGTGTGGCTCAACTCAAAATTTACCTTTGTCTTTTAAATTTTAAAACCCGGCCCAAGTTTGATGGATTTTATTAATATTTGCAATTATTTATAATTTCCATGCAAATCCTGTAGGACGCTGGCACGGAAATTTGCCCAAAGAGATTGGCGAGGATAGCCTCGTTTATTGTCTTACACCGGCTGTTTAATTCAATCAGTGGTGCGCAACTGGCCATTCGAGCGCGAACTGTATCCACTATGTCGCGACGCGTCAGGCGTGGAAGTCACCAAATTGAAAATAAGCAGGCATCTTGTCTCGCCTACTATCGGATGATTGAACTGTACATAGAGCTCAGTGACACTGTACCGCACAGAGAGTTTCGTTTATCCCGACTTTTTCAACGTGAACCATACTGTGGTGAGATGGTATTCCCTGGCAGATCGGTATGGCATGTTGCTTCATACTATCCTCAGACCAATCCGGTACTGACAATGAATCAATTGCGTTGATTTTTTGAGTGATCCCTTATACGAGCACAGAGTAATCCCGGTTCCTGACTTGGGTATTCCCGCTACTCTGGCCCCAGGGTTGTTTCTGCATGTGCATAAATTCCGATTCCCTTACAGAGCCGGGGCATCTGCAAACAAACTCCTGTCGAACAGAACGTCGGTTGTTTCACAGGCAAAGCTAGTGATACGGAGCGTACCACGGTACCTATTCGTTTATTGATGCAAGTCTGCTCACTGCGATTTAGGCTAGCAAATAACATAACACGGGGAAGAATGACAGATTTATGAGAAATTAGAAAAAAAGAAGGTTGAAAACGACTACAGTATCACACATTCAGGTACAGCCTAGAATGGATTGGGGTGCACAGTCCAGAGCATTTTGTTCAGCTTGACGTGCAGGTGACTTTGATCTTGCAACGTCGTTTCTAGACTGATGGTTTGTACGTAGGCTCTCCCAATGCACGTTGCAATAAAAATGCTTGGCGTGTGGAAGCAAATGTTATCTGTTATATCCTCAAATATACCGATTGCATATTTTCATGTGAGATCGTTTGGCTATCTCTCATCCAATCGTGGTTTCGAGACGTGTAGTCATTGGAGCAAGAGGATTAAAAATTATAGAAAACATCCCTCAATCAGACAGCTTAGAACTTCAGCAAATGCAGCAAACGTTGTGCCTGTTTGGTAAACTGTAAGCTGATTTGAGTACCATGGTCACTGCCAGGTCCAAAACATAATTGGGTAGGAGGGTGATCCTATCTTTCACATATTTTCCGTCGTTTTTTATCTAGTTTTAACGAAAAACGAACCAGTAATTCTGGAAATTTTGCCCATTCCTTACATTTTTTGTTAACCAGTTAGCGGGAGTGGGCATCTGTGTATTGCCTACATCCGGGACAACGTATGTTTGTCGCTCCTCAATAAAAGTACAGCGACGACGGTTTGCGGAGGCTAAAAGAAATATGTGCCCTGTCATTTCATTCGTTCCTCTCCGGAGAGAAAGTGATTCGAGGTGCATGCTTCCCATTTCATGTGTTCCTCTCGGATTCCTAGAATAGGGAGAGAAAGTGATTCGAGGTGCATGCTTCAGTGACCAAAACCGAAAGACAAAATTAACCGCAACTACCGTGTCAGGACACGTTGCATCACGAGCATCTTTTAGTAGAGCGAAAACAGACAATCACAAAATGAGCTGACTCAGTCTCTGTGAAAGCACTACTTAAGCACATCTGGTTATCGCTTCACAAGACATTTGGTATTTACTCCAATAAAGTAAGCTAGACCTAAAGCACTTGACTCATTTTATCCAGGAAATAGATGAAGATTGAAGAAAGTCGACTGGTTTTCACTCTCAAGCTGCACAATTAACAGCGATTTCACTTCCCAAATGGGAATAAAGAGATGAAACGAATTTATCCATGTCTTTAGCTGGCTAGTTCTGTTCTTACTTCTAAAATAAGTTTTCTGAAGCTTTTCTGGTGTTTTAGGTTAAGAAAGCCTCATCGTTTACCAGCAATTTCAAGTTGGAATTATGAGGTCAAAATCTGAAATCCGTTTTCTGGTCAATGGTGTGACCGGTGGTTAGAATATGCTTTGTAGCGAGGACGCCTGTAGGTTTTCCGTTTGAAGTTTGGTTGATCGGGTATGGGGCTGATTCACGTAGCCAGATTGACGCTTTGGGAAATATCAGCGTAAGGTCCCACCTGGAAGCTGCAGAAGAACTGATATAGTATTTGCGGCCACGTTATTCAATTCGCCTCAGACATCTAATTACCTCGTTGATGAGAGTTAAGCTGTTCCATAGGTGCGATCAATTATAACTCCAATCAGACTTTCTTTTTACTATAAGTGAACACATAACCTCATATTGGGATAATAATATACCACAGTAGCTCAACGTGTTCATTAAAAACTCTCTAATATTTCCAAGTACTCAACTAGGACCGCACGGTGAGATGTACTACACAGTGTGCTACGTTTGTGGTTTGAAGAAAGTGTTGGTGAGTTTAGATGAACTCGTTTTGTTATGGCCAATGCTTGCTTCGCCTGTAATAGCCCGGACACTTTCACTGAAGGCAGATGATATTTCAGCAAACCAATTAATTTTAAGATCACAGCTATTTGGTCATCGTAGATTGCTTTAACACCTCTCTCTGGAACTCCGAATTTCCCATTGTGGCCAACTATTTCGGAAGAAAAAGAAGGAAAATGCTAGCTGATCATCATTGCACTCACTGACACAGTGAGGGTTGTGAGAGTGAGCAAACGGCTTAGAAGTGTCATAATGAAAGGTCCGGTTTTGAACTAGACTTCCAATCGCCAAAGAACGATTTGCGGGCAGGACATTGAGGACAGATTTGTGCTTTCTCTGAGATGAAGCTACTTAGGATTTAAAAGATTTAAGAGACGAAGATCTCAAGATCGTATAAACCTGCATGACTAAACCACGTGATGAAAACTTCCCACAGAATAGATAATAATGAATTAGCTACCCTAGTGTTAACAAAAACGTGCCATTTCCTTAGATTAGACAAACCAGAAACCGAGCACAACTCAATATATGTTATACCATTCAGTTCTGCATTTCGGTTCATTTGATTTGTTGAGTCATTATCCTTTTAGTAGAAATGTTAATATAGAAAGCTGGGCTTAGGGTTAACACAATCCACGTCAGATTTTGAGATCGCTGTACTCACCTGGTGCCTGGCTACGCCTAGTCCAGTATCTGTTCTTATTTACAGGAGACAAAATCAAACAGCTGATACTGAAAAATAAAGCGGAGCTGGAGGACTGCAGACGCTCAATTATCAGTTTACGACAACTCCACGGTCGGTTTCAACGTGAAGTTTCCGAAGAGCTTAACACCTGTCGTGAACAGACTGTGGTAAGTAAACTAGTAACTTAGTAAATTTAAAGTAAACTTGGTAAATGTCTTCTCTATAGCCAAACCACTAACCCTCGTTTGCTTAACCTTTAGCGTCTCCTTAAAGAGTACAAGACACAATTGAGTTGCTACTCCGACCCTACCCTTCGCTCTATAAGGACAGACCGAGCATCGTTGGATCGCATGCTTACTGAACTTCGTGAGGCTCGGACAAGTCTTGGCGAGCAACTTCACGATTTGGAATGTGTTATTGAACAAACCGGCAATGACGTCCTGCAACATCGTTGCCGAATCACACTTCCATATGTACAGACATTAGACGTACGGCTGGATTCAATCAGTCGAGCTGTGGGTTCCACATCTGGTGAGTTTCGAAACTGATACAAAAATGTAAAATTTGACCAGAAAATGTCCACCATGGTGAAAAGTCGAAGTTTTCGATTTTTAATCAAGATGCAACGAGCAAAAGTTGCAAACAGCAGGGTGGGGCAATAAGAAGTTAAATTTGTTTTTCAAAAGCTTTTTAAACAAAACTCAAGGTTTCAGTCTGTCTGACTTTCAGCGACTCAGTGAGTATAGACGAAGTCACATAAGTGTTCACTGTCGCAAAAGGGAGTGTTGAAAAGCTGCACAAAACTTTCAACCGAAAAATCATCCGTAATTTCTCATCTGTTTCCGTAATAGGCTATTAACTAAGTCATCATCTTTTATTTTATCGTTCTGCCGGGTGTGATGCACCAGGGTACTAGCAATAATGTCCACAAGCCTACTGACTTCATAGACAGTGTGTGTCCATTTGCCCACCTGTTTTTCTGTTGCACAATGAACTCAGCGATATATAAAATGCATCATAACAACGGTTTTCTCGTCACAAAGCACTGGGGATCAAACATTGAGAAGACACTATTGGAAAAGCCAGACAACATGCAGGTATGCAGCACGAGAATTGGCGGTGAAATCGCAGCTAGCCACTCACGAACAGACAAATGAAATTCCCGGGAACACACCTCATGTTCCTACTGCCTAATTCACAAGTGGTGTGATTGCGTCACTACCATTGAGTGTCAGTTTTGAACCCACCAGGAGGTTGTTTATCATTCGCCAACAATTACATCTGTTTTACCACGTCATGCGGAAGGGGAAAACGCAATTTGACATTCGAGAAGGTCTTGCAGGAACTTTACGAGGGCGAACATTTAATTGATTTCAGCTTTAAGTTGGAACGGTTCGGCTTTAAATTATTTTGTCAGATTGCCGGCTTTGGAATAACTGTGTGAGCATCGTATGCTTCTTTCTATTGGCTGAGCTAGGTTGGCAGTGCGGATGAGTATCAGTTTCGTCTCAAGTCGACTTCCACTACCCTGCAGCCTAATGCACCGTTGAAAAGTTTGATGCGGTAAAAAAATACAGTACATTGCCGCATCATAGCCTCAGAGAATTTGAAGGATGAGTTATTAGGCTTTTACTAGATTTTAGCCTCCACATTCATTCACATGGTGGCGCAAAAAGTAAAGAAGTGCGGATACAATTACTTTTAAAATTGCTTTTACTGAAGTTTTCCCCCTGTAAATAAAGGCGTTCTTTTCTGTTCTGTCAGTGAGGATGAAACAGCTGTGGAGTGCTTCTAGGGTTTTCAGCATAGATTAGCTTCACTCAGAGGACGAAACATCAAATGGAAACTCCAAAATT